TTGTGCCAATACCAAGCTGTTTTCAGGACTATAGCTCTGTAATAGAGCTTGAAGTCAGGGATAGTGATATCTCCAGAAGTTCCTCTATTGTACAGGGTTGTTTTGACCATCCTGGGTCTTTTGTTTCTCCATATAAAGTTGAGAATTGTTCTTTCAAGGTCAGTGAAGAATTGTGTTGGGATTTTGATGGGGATTGCACTGAATCTGTAGATTGCTTTTGGCAAAATTGCCATTTTTATTATATTGATCCTGCCTATCCAAGAGCATGAGAGATCTTTCTATTTTCTGGTATCTTCTTGAATTTCTTTCTTTAGAGACTCAAAATTCTTATGGTACAGGTATTTCACTTTTTTGGTTATTGTTAGCCCAAGGTATTTTATGTTGTTTGTGGCAATTATAAAGGGTAATGTCTCCCTGATTTCTTTTCCACCAATGTATCATCGGTATATAGTAGGGCTAGAGATTTCTTTGAGTTAATCTTGTATACTGTCACTTTGCTGAAGATGTTTATCAGCTTTAGGAGTTCCCTGATAGCGTTTTTCGGGTCACTTATGTAGACTATCATACCAGCTACAAATAATGAGAGTTTGACTTCTTCCTTTCCAATTTGCATTCCCTTGATCCCCTTTTCTTGTCTTATTGCTCTAGCTAGAACTTCAAGGACAGTATTGAAGAGGTATGGAGAGAGTGGACAACCTTGTCTTGTCCCTGATTTTAGAGAAATTGCATTGAGTTTCTCTCCATTTAATTTGATGTTAGCTGTCGGCTTACTGTATATTGCTTTTATTATGTTGAGGTATGTTCCTGTTATCCCTGATTTCTCCAAGACCTTTATCATGAAGGGCTGTTGGATTTTGTCAGAGGCTTTTTTGGCATCTAGTGAGATGATCATGTGTTTTTTTTTTTTTTTCCTCAGTCTGGTTTACATTGATGGATTTTCGTAGGTTGAACCATCCTTGCATCTCAGGGATGAAACCTACTTGATAGTGGTGGATGATTTCTCTGATGTGTTCTTGGATTTGATTTGACAGTATTTAATTGAGAATTTTTGCATCAATGTTCATGAGGGATATTGGTCTGCAGTTCTCTTTCTTAGTTTTGTCTTTGTGTGGCTTGGGTATCAAGGTTATTGAAGCCTCATTAAAAGAGTTTGGCAATGACCCTTCTGCTTCTATTGTGTGGAATACTTTGAAGAGAATTGGTATTAGCTGTACCTTGAATTTCTGGTAAAATTCTGCACTGAAGCCATCTGGCCCTGGACTTTTTTTGGTTGGGAGACTTCTGATGACTGCTTCAATTTCATTAGAGGTTATAGGTCTATTTAAGTTGCTTATCTGTTCTTGATTTAATTTTGGTAATGAAATCTGTCCAGAAAATTGTCCATTTCCTTTAGATTTTCAAATTTTGAGGAATATAGGTTTTCAAAGTATGACCTGATGATTCTCTGGATTTCCTCTGTGTCTGTTGTTATGTCCCCAATTTTATTTCCTGATTTTACTAATTTGCACGATCACTCTTTGTTGTATGGTAAGTTTGGATAAAGGTTTGTCTATCTTGTTGATTTTCTCAAAGAACCAACTCTTCGTTATATTGATTCTTTGTATTGTTCTCCTACTTTCCATTTTATTCATTTCAGACCTCAATTTGATTATTTCCTGGTGTCTGCTCCTCCGGGGTGTATTGGATTCTTTGGTTTCTAAAGCTTTCAGTTGTGCTGTTAATTCTGTAGTGTGATTATTCTCCTGTTTCTTCATGTGGACATTTAGCGATATGAACTTTCTTCTTAGCACCGCTTTCAAAGTATCCCATAGGTTTGGATATGTTGTGTCTGCATTCTCATTGAATTCTAGGAAGTCTTTAATTTCTTTTTTTATTTCTTCCTGGATCCATGAATTGTGCAATTGGATGTTACTTAATTTCCATGAGTTTGTAGGTTTTCTGTATTTCATGTTGTTGTTGAATTCTAACGTTAAAGCATGGTGTTCTGATAAGACACAGAGGGTTATTTCAATTTTTTTGTACCTGTTGAGGTTTGCTATGTTGCCAAGTATGTAGTCAATTTTAGAGAAGGTTCCATGTGGCCCTGAGAAGAAGGTACATTGTTTTGTATTTGGGTGGAATGTTCTATAGATATCTGTTAAGTCCAATTGTGCCATAACTTCTATTAGTTCTTTTGTTTCTTTGTTAAGTTTCTGTCTGGTGTTCCTGTCCAGTGGTGAGAGTTTTAGTAATGTTTCTTTTACAAACATGGATGCCTTTGTATTTGGGCATAAATGTTCAGAATTGATACTTCATCCTCATGGATTTCTTCTGTGATGAGTAGGAAGTGACCTTCTTCATCTCTTTTGACTGATTTTAGTTTAAGTCTGATTTGTTGGATATTAGGATTGCAACCCCTGCTTCTTTCTTGGGTCCATTTGATTGGAAAATCTTTTCTCAACCTTTAATTCTTAGATA